TGGCCCTGTTGGGGGTCCCGGCGCCCTAAACCCCCCCGCCACCTGCCGGCCCCAGAAACTTCCCTGTTGTAAGACAGAGAAGCTGATGTACAGAGAGAGCCAGAGTCTTGTCCGAGTTAGGCGGGCGGTGAAAGATTGGCATTGCTGGGCCAGCCAGTGGTATGGTGATTAGGGCGACTGGATCCCACATAAACAATTGCATTGCGTGAGTCCTGGACCCAGTGGCTGAAAAGCACACTGGGTGCGTGTGCATGTGTGCCCAAAATCCCGAAAGGAGAGTGAAGAAGGGATTGCTGTGGCCATCCCCCGTGGGGATGCTTTCTTACTCCCCCCCGCCCCCACTCTCTTTTTCTCTCTGGTATGTGCACATACCCTATAGTAAATTTAGAAAAATAAATAATAGAAGAACTGGCATCATTCCCCAGTGTTCTAACCCTGTTCCTGCTTTACTTGTCCTGTTCATCTGTCTGTCCTCACTATTTAACTTCCCTAAACTTCAGTTAATCTCGTTATAAAATAACTCTTATGATCCCTCCCTGCTTGCCTCGCGGAATTGTTAATGTTTTCTGTCTCTGTTTTAGAAAGGGCCTCCCTCCCTACATGGTCCACCTGCCTCGGCTTCTCCAGGGGCTGGGACTGCAGTTGTACACCACTGCTCCTGGCTTTTCGGGTTGGTCAGGAATCGAACCCAGGCCTATTACATGGCCTCACCCTGCTGAGCAGGTGTCAGCCAGCATGCGCTACTGCAGCTGGGCCTGAAGACTTTGTCTCTCACTGTGAAACACTGCAGGTATAAGGAGTGTTAAGATACGCATCACTTTGGCAGCTTCCGCCTGTTCCAGGCCCCTCCTTGATATTTATAGTAACAGGTGAAAATGGGCCGTGGAGGTTAAGGCAGTGGTCCTGTGTCTCACAGTGGAGCTCTGCCTCTGCCATTCTCAGCCCATGCTTGCCCCGTTCTCTGTGCTAGGAACCAAGGGTGTCAGGATGCCACGTTGGTTTGCAAACTGCCTGGGAGATACAGCCTGTCTTCGTGGAGTCTGTCCTGCACGCCCAGATGGGTAGTCAGTGCCATAATGAGCCAGCCAGGCAAGGGAAGGAGAGTGCATTGAGACTAGTGTAATCAGGGAGAGCTTTCTGGAGGAGGTGACACTTCCAGATGGAAGGATAGATGAACTCCATTTAGTAGAGAGGACAAGTGAGTGAATCCAGAGACTAGCGGGCAGAGAGCCTTTCAGGAACCAAGTAAACCCACTGACCAGAGTTGAGAATTCGTGTGGTATGAAGCATCTCAGACTGCTAGTGGACACATCCCCCAGGGGATCTCAGAGGAAGCAGTCCAGCACACACAGGAGGGTTTTGTTTTTAGAGGTTTTTGCTATAGGGCGTGTGTGCTCACCAAAAAGAGAGAGACAGAAAGCAAGAAATCAGCCCCCGGGGGGATGGCCACACCGCAATCCCTTCTCCTCCATTCTCCTCTCAGGATCTTGGGCATGCACTGCACGTGCCTGGTGTGAGTTTTAAGCCACTGGGTCCAGGACGCGAACCACGATTGACTACATGGGAGTCCAGTGTCGTAGCCATTATGCCAACTGCTGG